ATAAGTTAAAGCACTCAACTGGTCTACGCAGAATCTGCACTCTATATATGCAGGTATGCCTCTTTTCCTTTCATCAAAGGCTAACATGCATCACATTTAAAATTCACAACACAATTTACCGTGGCTAAATTAGCAGCCTCAGCCACGAGATGTGGAACCTACATACACCATAAGAGCTGCAGGCTCTAGCTTCAAGTCACAAAAGACGATGCAGTGTCAGACAACACAATGTCACCCTTTTTCTGAAATGTGAGTGTCAAAAGATGCAGAGTATGCGATTATATCTCGAGATGGTTTTGATGAATTGAATCAAGAAGGTTCCTATCATCCAGTCAACAAGATGGCTAGAATTCCATGATGAGAATATAGAATTTGATAAATTATATGCCCTCGTGGCCGTGGGTGGGCACAATGGTTCATGGACCCAACCCAATCTGAGGACAAATAAACTAGTCTATTATTGGCATGCATGCCATGCTGAGACCCTTAATTCCAACTAACATGAAGTGGCAAGCAAAACCAGATCTACAAAGACCCCTAGAACAATCAAACAAACAAACAACTACATACCACAATCAAAGGAGAGCTCAAATCAAAATCCTAGAACAATCAATCAAACAACTACATAGCAAAATCAGACAGTAGAAATGTTGCCAGTTAATAGGTGAAGCAACACCTCCATCCATTTTGGGCAGTAGATCTGGGCTCTAAAACACAAAGCCACAGAGGAGAAGCAAGCCAAACCCACAAGCCCAATCCCTTCCTCACAAGTACTACAGAGCAGCCGAGCAAACCACACCCGCAAGCTACTAGCAAGCAAAAGCTGGGGGAGAGGAGGCGTACGAACACAATGGCGCCGGCGACGCAACTGGTAGATGTGGAGAGGCATAGAGGACGTGGGCCGTTTCACCACCGGCCCCAACGCCCCCCAGATGCGGGGACCAGACCCCGCAGCCGGCCACGGCGGCGCTAGAGCCCGTCGATGGAGCTCGGTGCGGCCGCGAATGAGCCTCCAACAGCCTGTTCGTTTGGCTGTGGCTTGTCGTAAACGATCGTAAATTTCCAGCCGAAACAGTATTTTTCTCTCACACAAACCAGCCAGCAGTACTTCTTCACGAACCAGCAACGATACGAACCAACCAGCCTAACAGGCTGTTCGGCGAGGGAGAGACTCCAACGCGCACAGTGACGGGCTGACGGGGCGGGGCAGAGCGCCGAGGTCGTCGAGAGAATCGCCACGATGAACACCTTTAGGGCCCGTTCGGCTGGTACAGAAGGGCACTGTTCACAGCTGGTTTTTATTGTTCATGGCTGATTTTGTGAGAAAAAAATACCGTTCCAGATGAAAAAAGAAGCGGATCAAGCCGTATACCCTTTCCTGGGCGCGCGCTTCGAGAATACGAATAGTGCCAAAAGAATCCAGTCCGAATACGATGGGTGGTAGCCTGTAATGGATCAAACCCGAAACCAATACAGAACAAAGGGACAGAGCGCACGGATCAAACAGGCGTCGCCTGAATAGAGCCTGATTTTCAGGCGACTGTACAATAGGAAAAGTGGCAAGAATAATATTTAGTCTTTGAACATGAAGTATTGTCCAAAAATATTTGTTCGCTCGTTGCTTTATTATTATATAATATAATTTGTGGGATTACGATACATGTTTGCTCATGTGTTTTTTTCCTTTTGGTCCATATTGCTGTTAAAGTTTGTCCCACCTAGAATTTTTTAAGATAATGCTTGGCCACTGGGATGTGGATTCTCCTCATCCACTCATAAGCTCTCTCTCAAATAAACAATATCCATTGTGCTTATCCGCCCGTCTCGACGTGAGCGCGTGGACGCATATCCACCTGGCCCACTCCGTCGTGCCACGCCCCCTTCCTCCACTGTGCGCTCGTCGCCTACCGTGCCGTGCCCTTCCTCCCACCGCCCCGCACCCCCATCGTCGGCCACGCCATGCCCCGTCCCAGTCACCTGCACCGCTCGCTCCCTCGCCATCCGTCCGTCCCCCATCGCCGTCGCATGCCATGGCCCCTCAGGTCTTCCCCGGCCGAGCCAAGGGCACCCACGAGCGCGGCCGATGCTGGTGGTGCTCGTGCGCCGTAGCTCGCCGTCGGCTCCTACCACGACAGCCAGAATCGATCGACCACAGTCTTTCCCTCCCCTATGTTGCAAATGTATGTTTCAACTGTTTCGAGTGTTTTTTTATGTATGTTGCAATTATTTCATCTAAATATTGCAAAAGTAGATCGGGGAATGTTGCAAGTGTTTCAGATGCATGTTGCAAACGTTTGTTCAAAATATTTCATCTGTTTCTAGACGTATGTTGCAATCATTTTTTATCTAGATGTTACATATGTTTCACAAATATGTGGGCAACTGTATGTTTCAAATATTTCAGTTGTTTCAGTCTTATGTTGCAGCAAGTGGTTTTATGTTGTAAGTTGCAAGTGTTTTATTTGAATGTTTCGTATATTTCATACACATGTTGCAAGTGCATGTTCCAAATATTTCATCTGTTTTGAGACGTATGTTGCATTCAAATGTTTTTTCCATGTTATAAGTGTTTTATGTTGTTGGGCCGGGAGCGAGCCGGGGGCCAGCGGATGGGGGTGCTGCAGTCGGGGGTGCGCTGGGTGTGTGCTCGTCCTTAGCTGGCCATCCCGGCTCCCTAGTGCCGCCCGCACGGAGAGAGAGAGAGAGGAGGAGGGTTCAGGGGAAGGACCACTGGCGCAGAGACAAGGCGGAGTGTGCGCGTGGGGCGGGGCGAAGGCGGACTGGGGCACGCATTCGGACATCTGGGCGCTAGCCACGCCAATTTTTTTTTGGTTCGGTCACTGACTACCTTTAGATTCTTCAGGGACCATATTGAAGTCATACATATTGATAGTCAAACTTATTACAGTTTAATTTAAAGCAGAATCACATTTTTGTTGTAACTAGATATATGACCATGCATTGCACGGGAGATGGCATGTTTTTTTTGACTAAACCTCAATATTTGGGTGCAGACGTGTGAGCTCCAAGGATTTTCATACCGGATGCGGGCACGTGGATCCGGTTTTTGTATTAAAACCGGATAGGACACAAGCATGTGTTCTTTAAGTGAAGGAAGTGAAGGATGATTCGTATAGGACGTGGACGCATGAGCAGGGATCCAGATTTGGTACTGAGTAGATTTGGTACAATAACATATTTGACCGGTATGTAACGACACTTATTTTGTAAAAGAGGAAGATACGCCTGGTAGAGTGGGAGTTAAAGAAACGCCTCATTGCTTGCTCGTGGAGTTGCTGCATGGAGCCATGTAGGGGAGGGCTGCGGATACGCGCGTAGCGCTGATGAGTACGAAGCGGCATAGGAGTCTAGCGCACAAACGAGAAGTACACGGAGGAGATGCGGACGTACGTATCCAGATCAAGCCAGGCGCGTACACGTACACAGAGGCCGATCGAGCAGGCGCGCACACTGAAGGAGGAGTTGGACGAAACCTGCCCATATTTTTTAGGTGGTATACATACATATATATATATATATATATATATATATATATATATATTAGATAATAACTAAGATGGTGTCTAGATCCAGTGGCGAAGCTACATTCACACGTCGGGGTCTAGAGACACCGATGACTTTGCCGTTTCACCTTATACAGAGTAATTTTGACCGGCTTGGACCCCAACAAAATTTACGTGAGACCCCAGTATCCCGGCAGGTGGCAGCCCAACAGCAACAGTCCAAAGTCCATCGATTTGCTTCTGCTCAGCCCATCCGATCCATCAATCCCATACGCCCACAACTCCACATACGTAAGTCGGTTAATGCTAACATGCTGTAGATACGGAGAGTACTTGATAGCCCAGAAGGCTGAACGTCGCTTAGCTTCGTACCCGACGCATCCCAAATCTTCCTGGCGGACGTCGCCCCTGCCCGTCGGCCGGCGCTCAGCAGCCGCTCCTCATGGCTCAGTTCGTTCTCGATCTGACGATCTTGTGTTCTCCTGCTGTCTACTCTCGGTCTAGCCCACACAGCAAATACCCAATTATGCAATTTGTAATTAAATTAACGATCGTTTGAACATTGAGGTATTAGGGTTTTTATTTTTTTCAGCTATACAATCCGAAATCAGATTCTCAGAAAGCAGTCTGTAACTTGCGTTCAAGCAATGAAGTGAAGAATGGTTCTCTTTCATCCCATCCAGCAAGATGCCAGGTATCGATCTACCAGTGACTTCTACATTATACGCATAGCTGCTATCTGCTTTAGTTTTTTTAACCACAATTCCAATGAAACATGTGATAATTCGCTTTCATAAGATGGAGGATCATAATAGTAGAGAGAAAATGTAAGAGGTAACTACTGCGAAACCTTATTTTGTCATAATATGCGGTTGTTATTTTATCAATGTCAAGTTATGCATGGTATTATATTATCGGGACCTATAAATCAGCAATTAATACTGTTGGGCGAAGCCCGCTATAAATTTATGGTGGTACACTACTACGAGGACATATATAATTTGGTAGAAATACATGGTGAAAGCTTATCCAGTTAGTGGAATTTTTTCCCTTGGCACCGGGCAAGCTCAATGTAGCTTCCCCCCGGGTACTGTGAGTACCGACCCCGGCAGCCATTTCTCCTGGTTTCGTCCCTGTTTAGATTCAGGGTGTAAAGTTTTTGGGTGTCACGTCGGATGTTACATGGGGTGTCGCATGAGGTGTTCGGATACTAATAGAAAAACAAATTACAGAATTTATTAGTAAACCGCGAGACGAATTTATTAAGCCTAATTAATCCGTCATTAGCACATGTGTTACGGTAGCACTTTATTGTCAAATCATAGACTAATTAGGCTTAAAAGATTCGTCTCACAAAGTAGTCGTAATCTGTATAATTAATTATTTTTAGTCTATATTTAATACTCTATGTATGTGTTCAAACATTTGATATGATTGGACCTAAAGTTTTAGAGAGAATTTAAGGCTTAAGAAAAGTCACTTTGCATCCGGCCCAGTTTTCGACGCCCTCGCCGCCCTCATTCGCTGTATCACCGCTCTCAGCCGCAGGTGCTCGCGCAGGCGGAGCCAGTCGTGCGCGGCGTCCGGCAGGATGCCGGCGAGGCACCACAGGAGCTGGTGACCGAGAGTAGGGGTGCAGAGCGGCTGGCCGTGGCCGATCCAGCGCGTCGCAGCAAGAGCGTAGGCGTCTGGTGTGGGGACGAGCGGCGAGAACCACTTGTCTCGCACGGCGCTGGACACCATCCTGGTCGCCACGAAGAACGGGGCCTGCAGTCCAATGCAGTGCAGACCAGTGAATTGAATGTGAGCAACTACCCAATGTCACGAGAATTCAATTGGCTCAGATCTGCCACTTCGTGCTAGCGACAGCGAGGTATTACCTCCGTCCTCATAAAAATTCTATGTGTTGCGTATCACATAAAGTTATTTATATTTAATTAAGTTTTTAGTGAATAATATTAACATTTATAACAAAACTCTTGTTCGCTTGAACTACTTTAGTAGTACTTTTCAGCGAATAAATAATATTTTTCTCCAGTAATAAATTAGCATAAGTCAAATTTCAACGAAACGAACAGGGTCTAAAATTTATTATGAAAATATATTTCGTAATTAATCTAATAATATTTATTTGATATTACAAACATTAATAATTTTTTATCTATATAATTAATCAAACTTAAGGTAATAAAACGTGACACTGTTTTATGGGACGGAGGTAGTACGAAACTTTGATCATCCTTGTCGCAGCGAAATTCCTTTGCTCAAGTTAAGCAGCAGGTTAATCTTTTTGAACTACAGAATTTTGCTGGATATATTACCTGGCACTGCACATCAATCCCTTTGCTTCTATACTCGACGTGAAGGCCCCGGGAGAACTTGGCAACATACCTAAGCTTAGGATGAACAGACGGTGCAGAGACGTACACAGGACGTAGTACAACAGTTACGTGCTTATTGCGATACGTACCTTTTGGTGGCGGCGTAGACGGTGTTGAGTGGGAAGGAGGGGATGGCCTCCGACGACGCGGAGCCCATGTTGACGATGGCTCCCCGCCGGCGCTCCAGCATCCCGGGCAGGACAGCGGCCGTCACCTCCGTCAGGGCCCACAGGTTCACACGCACCATCCGCACCAACGCCTCCACGTCGGCCTCGTGCAGGTACACCATGGACGGCCTTGACACCCCGGCGTTGTTCACCAGCACCCCGACGTCCAGCCCCTCGATGGCCGCTCGGAGCCGCCTCGCGGACTCGTCGCCTGACAACAACCAAGAGAATGAAGCTGATGCAAATGCCCTTTGGATCCAAACGCTCAGGCACTCGCGCTACGTACTGAGAGGTGTCGTTACCTTGAGGGGTGCCCACGAGTGAGAGGTCGAACGCCACGGTCTTGGTCTCCACGCCGTGGCGAGACACGACCATGTCGGAGGTCTCCTCGAGGTTGGCGGCGTCGAGGTCGAGGAGGACGAGGTTCAGGCCGCGGCGCGCGAGCTCCAGAGCCACGGACCGGCCTATGCCTGACGTCGGGCCGGTGACCACGGCCCACGCGCCGTACCGGCGGTGTAGGTCCCTCGGGCGGCGCATGGAAAGCGCGAGGTAGGAGAGGAGGCGGAACGACAGCGACGCCGAGTAGGCGCCGCCGACGAAAGCGAGCAACAGGAAGAACCATGCGGGCGGTGGCGGCGCCTGTTCTGTCATCCTCACAGCTCAGCAGAAGCGCTGTCTTTCTCCGTGTTCCTTCCTGCTACGCTTCTCAGTTTTGAGGCTGACTACCCCTGCTGTCAACTACCAACTGTCTCTGCTCATAACATCCACCAATGCTGTTACTATTCTCATGGCGTGCAATTGCCCCGGCTGCCACCTACCATCATCCAACCGGCTACACACAGACACAGGCGTGGAAAACGGACTGATGAATACGCATGTAATCAGATACAAATATCAGTACTTATCATATTTTTTTGTCCTATATATGAATAGAAATATAAATATTTTTTAACTGGAAGAAGTTAAAATTTGAGTTGTATTTAAATTGTTCTTCAGCTTTTAAACGTTGAGAATGAAAGTTATTGAAACACAAAATTATATAACATTGTCATGTTAATTAAAGTTATCTTTTATTTCAAAGAGAACTAAAGTTAATACATTTTTCCATATTAACACTAATGAATTGATTATATTAAAATTAATTAATTGTGTAGTATTTATCATTAATAATATTAAAGTTAATATAATTAATAATTAGTTTTTAAATATTTTTAATGGGTACATAATTAGTAGTATTAAAATTAATGTCATTAATAATTACTTTTAAATAGCTTCATTGTGCACATAATTAATACTAAAATTAGTATATTTAATCATTAGTCATATATATGAATAACGTTTACATACTTTCACTTAGTACTACATTCTTGATGGATACAGATAAATATACATCTATTTTCCTGAATACGGATGTGGAATTAGTCCGAGAATGAAAAAAATGGTTTCGAATATATGTATCCCATTAGAAATGAATACCAATGCATATATCTATATTTCATATTTTAATGGATACAGATTTGGATAATTATGATTTTGAGACATCCATTTCCACCACATGGCGGTTAGCCAATCCTCTTTTACAGCAATATAAAGGACTTTATTATAGTAGTAGTATAATGTGAGAGCAAATCTGTTTATGTGGGCGATGCGAAAAATTGACAGAACGACATCTGAACTGGTCACGCGCGTGCCCACTCAACAATGAGCTCAACAAAGCTTTTCTACCAGGCATTTTTTTTTGAATTTGTTCTACAATTTTCACGTGCCCTTCGTGTCCCTGTAGAAACTGGTAAGACCACCATTTGTTATTTTCCTTTTCGTGCACCGCGCCGCGCTACAAACTCACTGGTAGCTTTGCTAGTAGAATTTGTGCACTGATGAACCGCCGCTGCCCTGCGGATGCGCTCTGGACGATCTGAGCATCCGGAAGATGGCCCGCTGATGCAGATGCAGCGCTAGGCGATAGGTGTCGCCAAGGATCTCCGGCAGGAAGGCCGCGGCCCACCACTGGAGCTGGTGCACCAGGTTGGGCACGCACAGCGGGCCGTGCCCGATCCAGCGCACCGCCGCGCGGCCGCACGCGTCTGGCCCCACCACGAACAGCGGGAACAGACTGTTCTTCGCCGCGCTGGAGACCATGTTCGTCTCCACGTAGAAGGGCACCTGCAGATTTTTAGACCATGTTTGTCCGATGAAACATAAATCTATCAATATATTGCGTGGTTGATCATCACCTGACATTGAACATCGATTCCTTTACTTTTGTACTCCACGTAAAGGTTTTTCGAGAACACAGCAACATACCTGCGAAAAAAATAGAAAAAATGCAAACGGTAGAAAAAAGAACCAAACTGAAACTGCTAGTACATGTTTACACTATTACAGTACCGTTTGGTAGCGGCGTAGACGGAGTAGAGTGGGAACGAGGGCACGGCCAGCGTGGACCCGGAACCGATGTTGACGACGGCGCCCCTCCGCCGCTGAACCATGCCCGGCAGCACGGCGGCGGTGACCTCCGTGAGCGCCTGGAGGTTCACGCGCACCATCCTCATCAGCGACTCCACCTCCACCTCGTGCAGGTACAGCGCGCCGGGCTTGTTCACGCCGGCGTTGTTCACCAGCACGCCGACGTCCAGCCCCTCGATGGCTTCCCGGAGCCGGCGCATCGCCTCGTCCCCCCTGCGCCGTCGACACCAGGGAGAGGTCGAACACCACGGTCCTGGTCTGCACGCCGTGGCACCTCGCGATCTTGTCGGACACGTCCTGCAGCTTGGCGGGGTCCCGGCCGACGAGGACGAGGTTGAGACCCGCGCGCGCCAGCTCCATGGCCATGGACCACCCGAGGCCCGACGTCGGCCCGGTGATGACGGCCCATGAGCCGTAGCGCCGGCGGAGGTCCTTGCTTTCTCAGGCAGAGTGCGAGGTGGCGAAGGAGGCGGAAGCAGTCGCCTGCGACATACAGGGCGCCGATGGTGGCATAGAACAACCACATCCACGCAGGCATCGTCTATTCTAGCCGTTCTTTAACTTCGTCCGATGCTCCACCGCGTTTACTCTGAACAAGTGTTTGGACGAAATGGGTTTCTTATAACTTCGTCGTCGCAAGCTTTTAATTGTATTGAATCCAAATTGTCTAATCAGTACAGGTTGATCGCATGGGGGTTTTAGGGAGGATCATAAAGTCTTTACTTTATAGTTGGAGCCTAGAGCGTGCGTGATAAACTGACAATGATGTTGTTCCTAGACACTACAGAATCTATTGGTGAATGGGCCTGGTGAAAGCATGGCCCGCTGGCAACGGGTCAGGCAAGGCACAGCATGCCACCGGGCCATGCCGGGCTTGGTGTCTGTCTAACAGCCCAAACACGGCACTATGGACCATTTTCCGAGCCGGGCCGGCCCAAAAAACACTGGCAAAATACAAGGTCAAGCTAGCTCTGAGCCCGTAGTCATAGAAACCCCTCATTCAACCACAGATAAAATGATCATACAAACATAAAAGTCTAGAAGAGTACAACACTACAACTACAACAACACAAGTGCCAACTACAAGTCTACATTAACACAATGCGACCAGATCACCAAGACACCAGATCAATATTTCAAAGATGAAAGCCTCAACACAATGTGCCAACTGCCAAGTTACTAAAACAAAAGGAAATTAAACCATCAAACCAAGCAGGAAGCAGCCAAGATGAAGCAAATTTTGAGCTGTTTGTGCACTGCAACCTTATTAAAAACCTTTCTAGGTAAAATTCACGTCTCGTGAGAAACCCTAGAAAGGAAAAATGAGTATGGCCAACTCATTCACAAATTCAAATGTTCAAAGTTACTACAAACTTAACCATAGTTCTGTAAAACCTCTGGTGTTACGAACTCGCTATGCACTGATATTACGGCCGGAGAAATAGATCTATTAATATAGTGAGTTAGTTACTTAAATGTGCTAATGAAATCTTAACAAGAAAATACGAGAAGTAGTTTACTTGTTTGGCATGAAAAGTATTTTTTTATAAACAAAAATACATTACGACTTGTATATAGTACTTAAATAAAATTTTGAGAATGATTTTTGTTGCATTTAAAATGTCGAGTAACAAATTATAGTGCTTTAGCCGTGTTTGAAAATATATAAAGTTGACTTGGAAAATGAATTTTTGAGAGCTAAAATGATATATTATGTGGGTAGAAAAATTATGCCATCAGCAAGGTGAGAACGTCATGAGTATGTTAGTATGTTTGTTTCGAGTGTTGATGTGATATTTGTTTGTTTAAAAATTAGTATAAAAAGGAATGAAAACGGAAAAACCTAGTTTCCAGTTGTGTCGATGAAATAATGGTTTATGTAATTATCAAGTAGGATTGAAAACCAATTTTTATTGAGCAAAAATATTATAGAACGTGTGTATGACACCTAAATAAAGTGTGAAGTACAAATTTTGTAGATGACAATGCAACTCTTGCTATAAAATAATAACATTGCTAGCTAATAGTTCTAATAGCTCCGAAATGGAGCTTAAAACCAAATTCAACTCAAGGTCAATTTTCAAGTTTCAAAATAGTGTGACAATGATAAATTAGAATTTAAATTCTGATTAAAATTTTTAAACACTAGCATTATGTTTTGGCACTATTAATTGCACCTTTGCGGGTACCATAGCATGGTATAGTTCGTGGGGTGGTTTGAAGTTGCGTTGTTGCTCCAAAAATTGCCCCTAACCTCCTTAGATCGCGCTGTGAACCGTGTCATTGGTGCTCTGTTGGTGAACCGGCACCTGTAGCGAGCGATCTCAGCCGCTCACCTCAACTACCTCGGCCCGCTCGCTCTCTCCCTCGTCTGCTCTGCTTGGTGCCGTTGCCGCACTGGATGAGCGCAGTAGGCGCCATGTGCGTATACTCCCTCGTGTCCTTGCTCGGGAGTGCCTTAAAGGATGATTGTCGAGCTGCTGCTTGCTCTTCCTCCCTCCCTGCTTGCCTCTGCCGCTTTCTCTCCCACGTCCCGCAGCACCCGCCGTGGCCATGCCCGTCCGTCGCAGGCCCCTCGCGAGCACGCACGAACCCCCACGTCCCCGCGCTGGACATGCAGCCCCACAACGCTGCACCTCCCGAGCGCCTTCTTCGCCGCCTCCCCTGCCAGAGCCGCATGTGGCCGCCATGCCGTGCTCCGCCTCGGTCTATGCCGTGGCCAGGCCAAGCCCAGTCGTGGCCCACGCACCTCCCCGCGCCGCTCCATCTCCGTTGCCGCGCCCTAGCCACGTCCTGAGGCTGCCGTGGTCGTCGCTACCGCTGTCCTTATCGCTCTGCTTGCGCCGTGGACATGGGGCGCGAGCCCGAGCTCGGCCACTGCATGGCGGGTGCTCCACCGGCCGCGCCGACTGAGCTGTTGCCGCCCACGCGTGTCGCCGGCGCTGTCGATGCCCCCATGCGCTGCCCCACCGTCTTCGCCAGCCAGGAGTCGCCGATTGCGCCGCGGCCCCGGCCAGGCCGCCCTGACCGCCGCTGCCGCCGTCCTTATTGCTCTGCTTGCGCCGTGGACATGGGGCGCGAGCCCGAGCTCGGCCACTGCATGGCGGGTGCTCCACCGGCCGTGCCGACTGAGCTGTTGCCGCCCACGCGTGTCGCCGGAGCTATCGATGCCCCCACGCGCCGCCCCACCGTCTTCGCCAGCCAGGAGCCACCGATTGCGCCGCCGCCGTCGTGCAGCCGCCCGCCGCAGCCACCGCGCGCATGGACGGGTCACTGTCGACTATGCCCGTCCATGCCGCCATGACCACTGCCTCCGCCAATTCCTCCTCTCCATTTGGCGACGTTGGCGAGTTGGAGATCATCGAGCTGCCCGACGTCGGGCCATCACCGCGCCTCTGTTATGCGTGCATGCGGTCACACACCGTGGGCCGCCTCAGGCTAGCCATGCCCTACCTAGGAGAGCGCCGCGAGGCTACCATGCCCCGCGATAGCACCGTCGGCGGCGAACCGCCCCATCGGCTAGCGGAGTGCCTCCTGTTCGTTTGTCTTATAATCCGTACTTTTGGCTTGTTTTTTCAGCGGAACAATATTTTCTCTCACAACAAATCAGCCAAACAGTATTTCAGCTTGTTTTTTTCAAGCGAAGTTTAACGGGCTACATTGGTTCGCAAATCGCCAGGTGATCCGGTACGACTTGTCTTCAATCTAGCACCGTAGTAAGAACTGGAAGATGAAAAATGGTAAAATAATTCTGATTGCTTACCACCTGCTTGAAAGTAGCACATGTGCTTATATAGAATGGTTAGTTAATGAACTAATGATGACTGCTAATAAAATTAAATATAAGGACGCACATTTAGTAATGCTCCTGCTGATGCAATAAACCTACAAGCCAGATAGCCTAGCATACCCATGGAGTCTTTTCTTTTCTTCTGACGGGTAGGTCTTGATGAGTACAATTGAGTACTCAGGGTTTTATCTCCCCCTGTTGCAGGTGACAGATGGATGTTAGAGCTGACTCTTGTGTGTGGATCCCTCCTGGCGGGCTCAGAGAGGATTCTTTTACGCTACGATCATAGTTTTTATTTATAACTCTCACTAAATGTTTTTATAAATAGAAGTTTCATAATCTGTTGTCATAGTTTATACATCAATGCTTCATCATGTCATGAATAGCTATTTATTTCTGCTGTAACTCTGATCACATGTTTATATTTCGCTCTTAAATTAAATTATTCATAACTCTGATAACATGATCATATTGCGCTTATATAAACAATAAATATTATACTATGATGTTGCATGAAAAGTGATGTAAGAAATGACTTAAGAATGTTGTAAGCTTTATTCTCTCATTTGTGATCCTGATGGAAAAATGTGGAGTTTTGGGTTCTCTCTTGGGGTGTGCCCGACGGAACTGCGTAATTTAGTGTTCTCCCTCGAGTACTTAGTGTCTAATGGAAGACAAGTACTCCTGTGAGGCATTAGATTAGGTGGTTCTACCATAGGTGGTATCAGAGCATAAATGAGGAAATAAAGCTACAGAACCTATTTCTAAAATAAAACTTGACAACAAATTCTTTTTAAAAAGTTAGGATGTTGCATGCGAAGTTATATAAGTAGCCCTATTACTATGGTTATGTATGTAGGATAGATGACACTCTGCTGACTTAGGTAGGCTTAATCAATTTTTCTGCAGGTATATTGACCCCGAGCATAGTCCGATAGTATCGACTAGCTATAGAGAGAGAACGATGTGCCAAAAATCTGAGAACAGTTGCCCTATATGTTGGCAACAATAGAAGGACGTATAGGATGTGCATTCATGCATATTCTGATTGTGCATTGTAGTGCCCGTATTGCTTGCGGATACGCCATCCATATGTGTCACACGTGTCGTATTGTGCACGACTGACTCGTTCCTGTTCTGGAGTTATTTCTGCACTATGGCTTCGTGCTCCGTGTTCGCCTGTGATTCACACCGGTTGTGACCCACGTCTCCCCATACTCTTTTATGCGCTCTCGTTGGACCCTTGCCCTACAGTCGTACTAGTTATTAATGGCCTCGGACATTGCTCGCCTCGAAAGCGCGAAAAATTTGGTCGATTCATTCATAGTGATCCTACGCAGGAACCTTGGTGGACCGCACCCGGACCACTGTCTGCTCTGCCTTTATAAGCAGGGTCTGGCTTAGTAGTTGGTACCACCACTCGGTGCACTCTAGCTTGCCTAGCTTTTTCTTTTGAGCAAGCTTTTCGCTCAATCCTTGCAATCACTTGCCAGGAGTTGACAAAAGATGCTCGGCAGTCCTCCGAGGGGTATCCTATGAAGGTAGATTGATCGGTGGAGGTGCACATAAT